AAGCTGAGAGCTTTGTTTTCAAAAAAGTACCATCTCAAGATAGCAGAAATTAAAAGTCAAACATCTTCTACAGCAAACAGCCCAGTAAAGAGAAAGTCTCAACACTAAGACATAAGTCTCAAGACTTCGGTACTCATCTAATTCTGCCCAAAGTTCTACACCCGGAGAGGAGTAAGCCCATGCACCAGTACAGGCTGGAGGCCAGGCGGCTGAAGCAGCTCAGCAGAAAACGACCTGTGGTTTCTGGTAGGCAAGTTGAAGATGAGCCAGCAAGGTGCCCTTGCAGCAAAGGCAGCCAAGAGCATCCTGGGCTCCATTAGGAAGGGCGCTGCCAGCAGGCTGCGGGAGGTGATTCTTCTTGGCACAGCACTGGTGAGGCACATCTGGAGCGCAGGGGCCAGGGCTGGACTCTCCAGTACAAGAGAGATGGACATGCTGGAGAGAGTCCAGTGCAGGGTCGCAAACACGATTACGGTTTTGGATCATCTGTTGTGTGAGGAGAGGCTGAGAGATCTGGGGTTGTTCAGCCTGGAGAAGGCTCAGATTCCTCTTAGTACTGCCCAGTGACAGGACAAGAGGCAATGGGCACAAACTAGAATACAAGAAATTGTGTTTAAACCTGATGTCGTGGTTTAGCCCCAGCCAGCAGCTAAGCACCACGCAGCCGCTCGCTCACTCCCCCTCCCACAGTGGGACGGGGAAGAGAAGTGGGAACAAAACTCGTGGGTTGAGATAAACACGGTTTAATAGGACAGAAAGAAAGAAGGGAACAACAATGATAATACCAACAAAGGAATGTACAAGAACAAGTGATGCCCAATACAGCAATTGCTCACCACCCCGTGATCGACAGCCCGTCCCCGAGCAGCGATTTTCGCCCCCCGGCCAACTCCAGTTTATGTACTGGGCATGACGTCATATGGTAGGGAATATCTCTTTGGCCAGCCTGGGTCAGCTGTCCCGGCTGTGTCCCCTCCCAGCTCCCCGTGCACCCCCAGCCTGCTCGCTGGCAGGCCAGCACGAGAAGCTGGACTGTCCTTGACTGCTCAGCAACAACCCAAAACATCAGCACATTATCAACAGTTTCTCATCCCAAATCCAAAACACAGTCTCACACCAGCTTCTGTGAAGAAAACCAGCTCTATCCTGGCTGAAACCAGGACACCTGATTAAAAATGTTTTATTTGAACTGGAACAGGTTGCTCAGAGAGGTTGTGGAGTCTCCATCCATGGAAACATTCAAAACTCCACAGGTCAAGGTCCTGAGCAACCTGCTCTAGGTGACCCTGCTTTGAGTAGAAGGTTGCACTAGGTGATC